AAGTTTCGCCTGCCACAGCGGACTTTTCAGTTAATACAGACGAATGTAACAGTTTAATGTCTTCTTTATGCACCTCATACCCATCCTGTGGGTGGTAGTCACCCCATACCCATCCTGTGGGTGGTAGTCACCCCATACCCATCCTGTGGTGGGAGTCACAGATTACAAAGGTACATAATGGTGTCAGGGACTGGGGCCTCAATGTTTTAATAGCTGAACTAGTTACAAAGGTAATTGAACCAGTCGCACGTCTTACCTGATCACAACTGCAATGAGTTATTAATGTGAATGTTAGTTTTATTTATAGTGAGGAATGTCAAGATATTTGTCAAGAATGGTTTGTAATTACTACGGGCGGGGATATTTCCGCGGGTTCTATCCCCACCGTGGTATGTTTTGTTTGCAGTCGTGTCATTACGATTTCGTGATCATAATGACTCAATGGTATGACAAGTGTCCATCTGGTAAGTTTACATTTCGTTTGGTCTAATCTGGTGGTGATGATTTAACTTGCCAAAGATACTTGTAACCCAGCCGGAGCCGGGCAGTAGTGACATCCATAGTCTGATTACTTGTTGGATGTACCATAGACATGTGGCTCCTTCTGCTGATAGAAAGATGATAGATGGACTGACTGTTAGCAATCTCCTGGAGTCTTTGAAGTTCTTCTCGTATTATGGTTCTCAAACTGCTGTCTGACAAGCCAGGATTGTAATCTCCTTCGTCTTTGAAAGCAAATAACCTATCATGCCTCGGAAGACAGAATATAACACTGAATAATAATAATAATATAATAATAAATAATAATAATATAATAATAATTAATATATAATATAATAATCTTTTTCTACCAGTACATGATACAACTTATATAGACTATAGCTAACATTACTGACTAAAATATAGAAAGCCCCTGGTTATGCAGAGCATTTCGGGCAACTGAGGTTAATTTTTGTCCCCTGGATGCGACCCACACAAGTCGACTAACACCCAGGTACCTACTTACTGCTAAGTAAAGAGGGACAGCAGGTGTCCTAAGTAATATTAATAATAATATTAATATTAATCTTAATGCTAATATCTCTGTACTAAAAACATTAATAATACGCATTCCTTTTGAATTATTATGATGCGGTAGGAATGAGAGAGAAAGCCAGAAGTCAGGTCATGGCAGAAGGAGGTGAGGAGACAGCCAAGGTCAGGTCACTGTGTTGTGAAGATTTAGAGCATTTGATAAGGTAGTTGAAGAGGCTGCTCATCTAAAGAAACAGAGCTGGGATGTTATGGATGTTATGTATTGTATGATGGGGTCAGAAGCCAAGACTCGATCGTATCTCTATGAGAACAGGTGATCGGAACGTAGTCGGTAAGGCTAGAAGGCAGGGCCAGGAGTAATTAGTTGAGTGCAGCAAGTAAACACCACACACACACACACACACACACACACACACACACACACACACACACACACACACACACACACACACACACACACACACACAAAATAATAAAAAAAAAGAGAAAACCACAAGGAAATAAGATAGTAAATGCGCTGGACAATACCTGAGGAGGATTGCTGGACATAATAACAGGGCGAGAGGCCGGAGGAAGCATGACAGAGGCAGAGATGAAGCATCCATTGTGCTTTTTGTCCACCTGCTTGCTGGCCATGACACTACACAATGAAAACTGGGGATCGAAAGATTCTGTTGTGGCCAGGAGGGTGATAATGTTGAAGAGGAGACTAGATTCTTGCAGACGTAGTGGATAGTTTGCTGTGTACTCTGTGTACTCTGTGTCCATCCTGTGGATGATAGTGGCTAGTTTATTGTGTACTCTGTGTCCATCCTGTGGATGATAGTGGCTAGTTTATTGTGTACTTTGTGTCCATCCTGTGGATGATAGTGGGTAGTTTATTGTGCATTGTGTATTCATCCTGTGGATGGATACCCGGTACATTATATTTTATATATAATATATATATAATATATATATATATATATATATATATATATATATATATATAAAATATATATATATATATATATATAAATACTCATGTCTCTGCATTCACATGAATACTTGCGGATGGAAAGTGAACCAGGGAAGTTTTTCAAAGAACGGGTTTTGTATGGTGAAGACCGTGATCGACTTATCTCAAGTGGGACCTTAATATATCACATCATGAGTGTGTGGTGACCCGCCCACCACCAGCAACACCACCTGCCACTTCTCTCGTGAATTTTACTAACCCACTTTGTGTGACCTTGGTCATGACACCCCAGAGGTCTCCAGCTGGGTATATAACACCTAAGACTGTCTGGGAGACAACACACTTCCTGCAGTACCATCGGCAACACTAAGATCCAGAACTGAAAGGCAACTCAGTATAAAGGCACCTCAATAACACTAGGATCCAAGACTGTCTGGGAGACAACACACTTCCTGAGGGATCTCACTATCACTATGAAGGTAAGTCTTTGTTAATATTCTTCCTTTACTCTGTAAACTCTACGTCTACTGACTCTGCTGTGGTGACTTAATGAGAAAATCACTAATCTAGAACAAACAACACTTCGGTAATAACTCACGAAACCTAATAACACGAGTGCAAACTAACTAGGTTAGAACCCATGGCAGGTGAGTCGTACAACTCTAGTAGTTAACGCACTGGCCTGGAGTTTTAAGACTCACCATGGGTTCTAATCCCACCCGTACCCTGGTTTAACCTAGGTAATATTAGCAGCGGCCACTTCATAACCCTAGAGTGAAAATTTTAACACCTCCCCCCTTGCCCCAACAAAATCGGGTAGTGTTGCCCCCCTTGTGCAGAACGGAAAAAAAACAATAAAACGACTGTACACGTTCCTTCGAATGAAAGTGAATTTTAACTTTGTCCCAAAACTGCTACTAAACCCAAATGATGGTAAATGTTTCTTCTTTTCTTAACCGGGGTGGAAGACGGCCGGGGAGTTGCAAAATTTTTTTAGTCATAAATTTACGAAAAACGTTTTGGGAGCTTATACAATTCAAAACTCTGACTAAACCCGTTACCCCAGTGGCAACCCCGGCCCCGGTCTGGATTTCGTGACTCTCTGATCGGGGGTTTTCCCCCCCATTTTTGGCTTGTTTGCAATTTTTGTCATTCGATTCGTGAGTCCCTTTTATTAAATCTTACATTTTTATTATTATAATAAAAAAGAAGCGCAAAACCAAAAAGGGCTATACAGCAAAAAAGTCTTACGCTTCGGGGAAATAGGGAATGTTAATTTTTTCCCGAAAAAAAGGGAAGTTGTTTAACTTCTTATGAAAAACACTTTAAAGTTTAATCCCCCAATGACCCAAAAATGAATGACACATTGAAAACAAACCTTCCAGGGGCGGGGATAAAACCCCGCGATCGAGAGCTAAAAAAACCCAGACCGTCACGTAGCCACCCCGCTACCATAATAAATTTGTGTAGAAATATACCTGTTGGACAATCTTATTGGGCTACGGGTCCAGTGGCTAACCGACGGTTTTGGAGTTTTGAGACTCTCTGATCGCGGGTTCTATCCCCGCCCGGTATGGTTTAAAAATTCACCAATGTTTTACTTTTCCAGGTGGTTAAGTTTTGTGTTTTGTGGGGGGGTCGCTGGTCTCTGGCTTCCCCAGCCGGGGCTCCCCCTCCCCCATCCTCCTACAGGCCAACGCCCTATCAGGTTTTTAAATATGTATTATATTTTTGTTGAAAAAGCGTGGCGTAATTGGGGATTTTTATTGAGAAATTTTTTTTGTCCCCAAAAAAGGCACTTCATAAAATTGAGGTGCTTTACGGGAGTAATTGAAGAACAAAGGTTTGATGAAAACCCTCTGGAGAACGTACAGAGGATGAGACAAAGTGACCCCATGTATCAAAAATTTTCACTTGGGACAACTAGGCCCGAATCGCACTTCTAGAAAGGCGAGAATTAGGGGGGATAGATTGAGGTGTAAAAATGGAAACGGGAAATAAATAAAGGGATGTAAATAGTGTACAAAAATATCTAGCCAGACAGTCGCAGCAGTAGTTTTAAACGGGAAAAATTTAGATTCGGGAAAGGGTATGGGAAAAGTACGGTTTGGTAATAAGTTGGGGTTTGATGGAACAAACCCCAAGTACCTTATAGAGGCCAAACGTTTTTACTTCAAAAAAATTTTGGATTAATACATGAGAATGTGGGGGGGTTTGTGAGTTAGACCTGATAGCTTGGCTAGCAGGTCGGTTGCCGTTTTTCCCCCTTAATCAAGTGACCTGCCCTGATGGGTTGGGTGCATTGGCTAACCCGGGGGGAACGGGACCTCCCGGGGCCATAGCCTTCTGCATTTTTCCTTCGTTCTTAGTTCTTATGTTCTTATGTCTTATTAGGAAAGCACTGGTTTGAAAAAGAGTTGTGGGAGTGGAAAAACCCCCCGATACCGTCATAAACTAAAACGTTGTGTGTTTAAAAATGGGTTGGAAAAATCTTAGTGATTTTTGGGGGGGGGGTGGAGTTGGACCCCTCTATTTGTGACTGGGTTGGTCCCGGCTCCTCCTTAAGTGAATTTTGACCTGACCTGACTAGGGGGGCAAAACCGGTAGGAGACTTGGACCTGCCTCGTATGGGCCAGTAGGCCTGGTCCAATTTTCTTCTTTTTTTAAGGTTCGACCTCAATATAATAATACACTCTAAATTTTTTTTATTTAAAACTTTATGTTCTTCGTAAGTAGAAAAAGAGTTTTTATTATTATTATATTATTATTATTTTATTTTTAATTTTTATTTTTAATTATTATTTTATTATATTTGGTTTTTTTTGTTCTGCATTACGTAAATTGACTTTATGGTAAATTTTCTCCTTGGTAGGCTCCAGACGGTCAGCCGCTATGCGTGAACGCCCCTCCCCCCGGGTAACGACTTCGGTCCCGGGGATTCGTGATGGACCACACTCGGGGGGTCGTACTCGTGCCTCCCCACGGTCGTCTGAACGGTCCTACACTGTCGTGGTGACCGGGCTACCGGGTGGGCCACCACCAGGGAAAGCCGGGTACCCACCACCGCAGCCTATGGGCCAAACTCCAAACTTACACCCTTCGCCCCTTTTAAAGCCCAAATTTCCCGCCTTTGGGCCCTTTCCCCCATCTATGGCAAAATTTTTTTATTTCGTGCCCAGCCCAAAAAATATCAAACATACTTTTAAATTTTTGCAATAAAATTTGCATCACTTTTATGATTGGTCTTGGCCCAAATAATATATATATTTTCCCCCATTAAAATTTTTTCGAATTATCTAAAAAAAAAACCTTAAATAGAAGCTTTTGTTATTTCTCCCTTAAAAATTTTAGACACATGTGAACACCTGCAAATCTTTATTGGGGAAACGATACACAATGTTTGAACATGTGTCAAATTTCTCAACTTTCGTTCTCTAAACCATTCATCAAATTTTCCCAATTTATTCCGTTCTAAAAACCTGTCTTATTTGTCTGGGGCGTATAATGAAAAACTAAATAAAATGTGGGGTGTAAAAGGTTAGGGACTACACGAGGTACTAAGCCAAATTTCGCTGGGAAAAGCGTCAAATAAGCTTCCAAAAAAAAGGAAAATGTGGACTTGAATTGTCCACTTACATGACCACGTTTAAAGTTCAATTTTTTCGAATCAACAAAGATTTCAAAGAATTGGTTAATCCTTGAAATGTAAAGCTCTTTTTGGGTTTAGCAGTGATTCGGATAGACTTTTCATTTAGGTTATAAAAACAATCTTTTGTAAAAGGTTAAACCCATCGCTGACATCAGTAAATACACTGTAGGGAAAAGCCGCTTGTTATGCTGAGCATTTCCCGAAAATTTGGGTCGTTTTGTCCCGGATGCGACCCCCACCACCCAAAAACACCCAGGTACCTATTTTCTGCTAAGAAAACTGGACGCGGTTCTTAAGGAAACCTCTGCTGCTTCTACCCGTACCGACGACAACCACGGACCCAGTGTGGAGCTACACCTGCACGGGAACATAATTTTTGGGTATGTTGGGTAAGAAAAAGCAAAAAATTGTTTCCGACCCGCCACTAGAGTTTTTTGGCATTTGACCGAGGCCTTTCTGGTTTTACGAGTCCACCACTTGAAAATTAAGAGAGGAAAAACCCTACCACGGGCGAAGGAAGAACCCGTGAGCTGAGTCACAAATCCCCAAACCCAAAACGGGGTAGCCACGGGCCCCAGGGCTCCCGCGTGGGTCTAGAGTTTAAAATCTGATCGGGTTCCCCCCCCCTGGTATGGTTTGTTTGCAAACGTGTCATTACGATTTCGTAGTCTTTGAGAAAATCACTGGATGAACGTTCCTCCGAACCCTTTTTCCTGTGTTTCAATTACGATTCTTTTGTAAATAAAATACCCTTGGGGTTTCAAAAAATCCCAACTTTGAGTGAAATTTTTGGGACAACACAAAAGGTTTAAAAAAAAAAAATTATGAGAATGGGACTATCTATTTCCGAAGTAAAGGCAAAATTTAAAAACATAATTATTAAAAAGCTTTAGCAGGAAAAGGGTTTTATTTTTATTATTATTTGGGGACCCCAAACCCGTGGGATTATACAGCCCTGTGGGGGGGGGGAAGGGTTTTTAAGTTTAATTTAGGGGAACTGGAGCAGAGATCCAATTCCCCTTAAATAAAGGCCCTGAGAAGGGGAAAAATTTTAAACAATAGTTCCTGTTATGCTGCACTTTCTGTTTCCCTTGTTAGCAGTTGGGTCTAGTCCCGACACTTTTTCCTACTTCGACATTTCCCTCCCCTACCTATTCTTCG